CAATTAAAGTACCGTAAGTGACAAGATCGGGCGTCAATCCACGAACATACATACTGCAGAATAATTGGTTCGCCCCTACCAAATTCCTAGTCTTGCACATGTAATCCATAAGAATGTTGTGAGGAAAGGCATCTTCTATGAGGTTCTTGCCAAGAAGTTGATTAACAAACTTAAAAGCTTGAGTTACATATCCATTTTTACAAAGCCCCTTTGCAAGGATGGAGTAGGTGAATTTATCAACACGTATACTTTTCTCAATCATGTCTGATATTACGGAGGAAGCTGCTTCAACATCACCTTCGGTGTACAACCAATAGATAATTGAGTTGTAGATAACAGTATTAGGCATCAAGCCGCATTCCACCATTTCATTACACAGCCTCAGGGCCTCATCTAAACTCCCTCCTCTTGCATACCCATCTATCAAAGTCCCATATGTCCTTTCATTACACTCAATGCCTGCCTTAATCATGTCATTTCGAACTTCTTCTGCAAATGCTACTCTTCCTGTTTTGCATAAACCGTTAATGATTGAATTGTATGTTATTGTGTTTGGCAAAATACAATCTCTTGACATTACTCCCATTTTCTTGACAAGCTTCAAGGCAAGATCCAAGTCACCCATCTTGCAAGCTCCATCAATTATCATATTAAAGGTAACAACATTAGGCCAGATCCCACGCTTTAACATCAAATAAATTACCGATATCCCTTCTAATAATTTCAATTCCTTACAAAGAGCATATATGACCAAGTTAAAGGTGTTTATATTTTCGATATATCCACAAGCCAACATCTCCTTATACAGCTTCCAAAATCTATCAATCTCATCAGACTTCAAGAGATGACTCATAAAGTTATTCCAAGCATGAATTGAAACCCAGCAACCTTCCATTCTCAACTTCTTGATCACTTCATAAGCGCCATCAATGGCTCCAATTTGATTACAAGCCTTAACCAGTGTATCAAAGACAGCAGGAACTGAATGGCAAGTTTCATAACTTCTAACCAAAGCATCCAAAACTTCCAATGGTGAAACACCATTTACAAGCATCAACTTCCTCATAAGGCATAAAGCATCATCGAATCTCCTCGAACAAACTAAGACATGACATATTGTACAACAAGATTCTAATGAATGAAAAAAA